GCAGTTGAATATTCAAGGCTAAACATACATGACAACCAGGTATAAGAATTGAATAATAAACTGGATATGAAGAATTTTATGTTTCACAAATGTAACGATGGAGAGAACATTCAGTGATAGGCTATTGTCATATTATAGAGACCTGTCCCCTGGCTCAATATAGAGAGCGTGTTGGCATCAGATTAAAAATAGTTTTCGGACACAGTAGCGAGTTTCTGGTCCTGTCCCGCATTTTGGAAGACGTTGTGATTTTTGTTTTTATTGTACAAAGATATTATATAGTTATGTGTTTTGTCTGAGTACGTATTTATTAGTGTGAGTAGTGTGCGGCTGATGGTCAGATCATTCATCCAGTTGTGTGTGATTGTTTATGGTTGACAGCAGGATATCGAGTACTCCACCGACTAACCAGAATGAGTGTGGTGTACATATGTGCGAATGATTTTATTTTTTGCAATTGTATCATAGATGTTAGTTTTAGGCTAGATTATGTTTTATATGCGATGGTGACCGAAATAACCTAGGTGTCGCAAGCCCCTTTCGAGCCGAATCTCGCTTTTGGGAAGCGGCGATCTCCTGGGCATCTGGCTGAATCTAGCGACTCAGCCGCATAAAGGGGTAGGTGAACACCCCGTAGATATTGACCATAGGGTCAGCTCTGCGGGAAGTGACAAGCCTTCGGGGAAAAAGCCCAATACACCTCTACAGAGCACTACATACATTTACGTATATACATCTTCATAAAACTACAAAATTTGGCACAATGATGCAGTAACGACAAACTAAAAATATTAGCAAATAAATAGTTAAACAGTAAGATTCATGTCGGAGTGTAAACTGGACAAATAATGTAAAACATACAAATACATAATCGAAAAACTGATATGATTAAGATAAGCCGCATAAATAGAGGGCAAGAATCAAGCGAGGTCGTCGTACTGGGCTGGGTTAAAGTTTATGAAACGAACAATCTGGCGTTTATGCACTAAAAGTTACTTCACTTGTTTCGTGGTCCGCTTGATCAATTAACATCTTTCAGTTAATTATGGTTTTTAATTGAGATAAAAAAAGACAGTGCCTCGAGAGGGATTCGAACCCACGACCTTCGGCTTGATATGCAGCTACTCTACCACTTGAGCTATCGTGACCTCGATCCACTAGGACACTAACTTCCCATCTGAACCGCACCTTTTGAATTTTCCCTCCTTTTTGCCATTTTTCAAATGAAATGGCACAGAGAGCTTTAGTGAAGTATACTGCATTTTAATTCATTAAATTCACTATTTTGCGTGGTCCGCTTGACCAATTAATGTCATTCAATTAATTAAGCTTTTCCTTTGAGATAAAAAAGTCAATGGCACGAGTGGGATTCGAACCCACGACCTTTGGCTTGATAAGCCGCTACTCTACCACTTGAGCTATCGTGACCTCGATCCACTCGGACACTAACTTCCCATCTGAACCCCACTTGTTGAATTTTCCCTCCTTTTTGCCATTTTTCAAATGTGTAATCTATTTGATTCTCGGCGACAAATGAAATGGACTCATTAAATTCTCTAGTTTTCCTGGTCCGCTTGACCAAGTAATATCATTCAGTTAATTGAATTTTTAGTGCCGTTTAAGGTTAATTTAATTAAAGGCGTCAGTGGTTCAAGAGAAATTCGGCTAGTTTTTTATCGCATCCGGAAGTGTATTAATCAAACAAATTAAATTCACTAATTTCGTGGTCCGCTTGACAAATTAACATCTTTCACTTAATTAAGGTTTTTAGTTGTGGTAAAAATGAATGACGCCATTTCGTTTGTCGCCGACGTCGTATTCGACGACATTTGAAAAATGGCAAAAAGGAGTGAAAATTCAAAAGGTGGGGTTGAGATGGGAAGTTAGTGTCCGAGTGCATCGAGGTCACGATAGCTCAAGTGTTAGAGCAGCGGCGTATCTAGCCGAAGATCGTGGGTTCAAATCCCGCTCGTGACACTGACTTTTTTATCTCAACTAAAAACCTTAATTAACTAAAAGTAACCTTGGATGAAAATCTAACGATTACGTACAGAGAAGTACCAGTGTCACAAGGAAATTAAACAACATGATACAAGAATGATGATAATGCAACAAGTTAAAAATATTCTTATCTTTATGATGGACAAAAAATTAAGCTTGAGAGGAAGGGAAGATTGATAAGAGAAAGGAGTAGGGAGAAAGAGAAAACGATAAGAAAAAAGAGGTTCGCTCTCTCGTTTGCGCACTCGTGGTGAAAAGGGCACTGAGATTTTTTGTTGATGTTACTTCGCAGTTAGAAAGATATATGTAATTTGTTTTATTCTATTACAATTTGAATATTTGTACTTGATTTTTTAATATTGAGCATTTAAATTATATTAAATTTTAGTTTAAGTCGTATTAGTGGATTTTTTAAAATTTTAATTCCCATTCCTTATAAATATTGGTAAACCAGTCAGAGTGTTATGTACTACTGTACTGCATTATTAATTTATTTTATAGATAGAAAAAAAAACAAGATTTACGTAGGAATAGAAAGACTAAGACAAGATCCACGCAAAAATGATCACAGATAAGCACGGTCCCTGTTGCAGGAAGAAAAGAGACTCAATAAATTTCAGCTAGTTTAGAGAAATGGAATTAAAGATATCACAAATTACTCGAGATAATAAAATAATTAATTTCTGAAAGTAAGGAAGTATTTAAATTTATTAAGAATGCAGAAGATGTTCAAATGGACAAGAAGGATGAAAACAACGTAGATAAACATATATAATGACAATTAACGCTAATTCCCCATCATTAAAAAAAAATTCGAATGCACATTTAAACTGTTCCAGATTAATAACAGATAATCCAAAAGATTGCCTAGATTGAAGCTATCGTCACATTGTTCCTAACAAAACTAAATAGTTTTGGCGAATTGCATTTATCATTCAGCGACAGAGAGAGAGAGAGAGAAAGAGAGAGAGAGAGAGAGAGATTGTATGAGGGGGGAAGGGGAGAGAGAGAGAGCGAGAATGGACGAGTGAGGGGGGAAGAGGAGAGAGAGAGAGAGAGAGAGAGAGAGAGAGAGATTGTATGAGGGGGGAAGGGGAGAGAGAGAGAGAGCGAGAATGGTTGAGTGAGGGGGGAAGGGGAGAGAGAGAGAGAGAGAGAGAGAGAGAGAGAGAGAGAGAGAGAGAGAGAGAGAGAACGAGAGGTATATATGTATAATAAAAAAATTGTTTCAATTATTTCCTTTCCATGTTAAATCAATGTCGTAATTGCGTGTCGATGGGGCTTGCGATAAAATTCAATTGAATTTTGTTTTACTGATTCATAAACCCACAGCATCTCTGCATTTTTAGAGCATGGTCTCTGTGATTTTTATGAACTCATCAGTCATCGATATCTTTGTTCGTCGTTAAGTTTGGTGGATTTAGCCAGGAATAGAAATGATAAAGGTGGGGTGAGTATATTGTTTAATTTTTTAAAAGATACTTCTCAGTCCCAGGTAGTTGTTTTGAACAATTGACAACAAACTGTGAGAGGGAACTATCTTCTAAACAGATTAACCTAGGGATTTTTTTAATATTTATTCTTCCTGTAAGCGTCTTGGTGATAATCCGTCTTTTTTCATTTTAATCAGTGTTTTTGTCTATTGGTGAGTTTTCCGTTTTTTTGTAGTATTTTCATGCTTGTCTGTGTTATTGAGGGTTCGTGATGGTTTTTTGTGAGGTGAGCAGGTGAACAGACCAACCCAACAAATCAAAATGATCGGTCCTTCACACGGAGAAAACTTATAATTTGCTTTTTACTTGGTGTTATTTTGTCTTTTGCTTAATGTGTGGTGATTAGTGACCGTTAGTCAATGATTATTCGGAGATCGTGAGATGCGGTCTTGTGTGACGTAGGTTTTAGAAAAACATTTTCTTTGTCGTGCCAACGTTTCGATCTTTATTGTGATCATCTTCAGAGCTCAAAGTGTTTGTTTTACATGCAAGTGCACTCTTAACACGACACACAAGAATGGCACAATTACGCAGAAAATAACCACTTTGAGCCGTGAAAATGATCTCCGAATAATCTAAAATCATATTGATTTTTAAATAATTTGTAGATAACCTTTGTTCATTAAAGTGGCGGGCTTTGTTCTACGCACTTTTCTTTTCATGCATTCTACCATCTTGTTAACATAACTGAACATAACATTATGTTAACATAACTGAAACTAAATTTCAAGCCTTGCGCTTTTAAATAAACCTTAAAATGTTTAAATTATTTCATATTTCGTTCGTTATGATGAATTGATAACAAGGCAGTAAAGAAACGAAACCGAATAATATTAACTAGAACAAACACAATTTCTAGCCTAGCATAGCTTTTCAAAAAGCAAATTTAGTACGTTTTCTTTGATTCTGTATTATATATAAGCAATGAATTAATGAAAAATGGTGAATATAAATATTTTTAAAGAAAATTTGTTGGATTGCATTTAAAATAATACGTTTTGTTCCATGTTATTATGTATGTCGTATGTCTGTTGTACAATGCACAAACGCACTCTCAACACGACACACAAGAATGGCACAATTACCCCGAAAACACTTTGAGCCCTGAAGATGATCTCAATAAAGTTCGAAACGTTGGCACGATAAAGAAAATGTTTTTCTAAAACCTACATCACACCAGACCGCATCTCGCGATCTCCGACTGTAAGTCCACGATTACTAACCTAGCCTTAATATTTTTTATCCGTAAGATATAAGATTACCTCATCTTGTCTGAAATAATTTAATGACAAGATAAAACAAACAACGAAATCGGACGAATTGAATCATAAAGCCAATAAGAAAACGAAATGTCCCAGGCGAAAAAATCCAAACAGGACTCTTCCAGGTATGATCTAACAGCTGTCAAAGTTGTTGTAATTATACAGAACCATGCGGAGGCAGTCGTGACTATCGTGAGAAACTGAAATGGCCTGTGAACACAGTTGCTTTGTTTGTCCGGTATAGGGAGGGGCGAAAGGGGACGCGTTCGATCCTGGCGTCCCGGCAAACAGGCAACAGTACTCAGTTAGACTCCGTGTTGTGTGTTTGTGCCGCTCTGTAAACTGGGATTTCGAAAATAAAGGTTGGTTCAATATTTAATTGATTAGTCAATTATTGGCATAAATAATTAATATCTTTCAAAGCTTATTTCGCTAGACAAGAATTTGGTCCAGTTCTCCAATACTGAAAGGAATGTTATGTTGTGTACTGTTCTATCTTTGTTTTTAAAAACTAAAACATCAAACAAACATTAATATCATATTAGGATTTCATTAATTAATAGGCGTAAACATCGATTTCTTCCAGAAAACCCAAGTCAGTACAAGGACATTTTGACAATTTCCATCAAAACAAAAATAGCATCCGATTAAAATGTTATACATACTATAATTTATAAACACAAAAACAGGCCAATTGTGTTAAATTCTATTTTTCAATTGTATAACATATATGGCTAATTTAATATTCAATTTAGTTCAAACATACGTTAACCATGTTGCCCATGGTTCCGCAAAATGGTACGGATTTGTTAAATTAACTTGAAGAGAAAATAATGTTTAAATTTTTTGAAAACATGGTTTTCTGCCTCTGTTGTGTACGTTTTTCAAGGTCATGATATATCTTCTTATTTGCTTTATTTAGGATAAGAAAATAATAATCAACATCGTATTGAATAAGATTACACATATTTAAAAAAAATTCACATGAATTGGGCGTGCCATCAGTATTAAAAACTCTAAGAAAGAAGTTATGTTGAAAAACAACAACAAATATGAAGACGTCATTTACGAGTCGCCCATTTAAAATGGAAATAGAAGTAATTTTAACAATTACCTGTTAATTATAGCTGCTTAAACCACGGTAATACTTTCGCGGTGCTAAATCATGATTACTGTTTATTATTTTCGATAAGTTAGCATAAAATCAAGCCTTCTTGTTTTGGTAAAATTTGAATATAGTTGAATAATAATTCAGATATCGTGAGATGCGATCGGGTGTGATGTAGGTTTCAGAAAAACATTTTCTTTATCGTGCCAACGTTTTGATCTTTTATTGAGATCATCTTCAGGGCCTGGGATTTACAAACAATGTTTACATTTAACAAATACATTTTTTTTTACCTTATGATCTTGCATATTAGCCATGGTACGAATTCTTGTGTGTTCAAATTGGGGGTTATCGGGAAAAAAGGGCCAGAGGCGACGGTGGGAATCGAACCCACGACCGCGGCGTGAGAGTCTCTCATGCTAACCACTCGGCTACCGCGGTCCCCCAACAATGCAAACTTCACACCCGTAAATTCACTTATCCACATCCTGAATGTATTTGTTAAATGTAAACATTGTTTGTAAATCCCAGGCCCTGAAGATGATCTCAATAAAAGATCGAAACGTTGGCACGATAAAGAAAATGTTTTTCTGAAACCTACATCACACCCGACCGCATCTCACGATATCTGAATTACTATCGATTAACGGTCACTAATCTCTACATAGTTGAATAATTGAGTTCGAGTAGTGTTTGGTCACTTGACCATGTAATATTGACATTGATCCATTTTTTAATTTAACAATTATTCACTCTACTATACTATAGAAAATAACACCTTAGGGATAGCAATAGGGATAAAAGAAGCACAAGGCATTCTGCACCTAGACCGAATAGGTCTGCTGAGCTCCTCTATTTTATATGTCACTAGATACCTTCAGTTTGTTAGTCAACCTACATAGCGCTAGATGTTCCTTAGTGTAGGATCTTTCTTGAGGCTTATCCTCTCCTAGTTGCAGGAATCTACATTAAATAGACCCTCACAAAAACACGAAACATGTTCTGCTGTCACAGTGTTTCTTCTGTCTGTATTTCTATCCGGTGAAGTGCCTTCTTAGGCGGCACAGCCCTGTCAGGAGTTCGACCAGTAGTGTGTTGCGGTTACCCTCCAATTCCATTTTATGTTTTGCAGATGGCCTGTATTGTTCAACCAGGTTTTGGACCCATTAACAATCCATTTTGGGATGTGTCCTTTTTTGTGGTAACGTATTAGAGGCGCATAGTAGCGTGGGGTCTGTAGAATTCATATTGGTATTTTTTTGGACATGCCCAGTTTCCTATTACCTCTATGTCTTACGTAATACATTGATTTTTCCTTCTTAAAGGTGGGATAATAGGTCATCTCAAAAAATCAAAAACCAGCTTTTATCAATCCACTGATCCATTGATTTATTTTAGTCCTTCCTCAAGCCAGTTAGCGCCTAAACACAAAAAAGTTTTCTTATATTTTTAGACAAACATGGTTATCATTGTTTCTTTACTACTTACAGTGGTTAAAACAGTGGTCCTCAGTCATTAAAATTTGGTAATAGCTTATTTTAAAAGACGCCAGTGTGATACATTTTTAAGTCCTTCAGACTCTCTTTGTTCCGTGTACAGGCGCTAACTCAACTGAGGAAGGATTAAAATAAATCCGAAACGTGATGGATTGAAAAAACCTGGTTGTTGTTTCTTTTGAAATGACCTATTATCCTACCTTCGAGAAGGAAATATCAGAAGTTAAACTGTTGAGGTCGAAATAAAAAAAAACATCGTTGCTTAATACTCATCCTTACTCCGCAACCCATGTTCTCTTTTGGAACTTTCCGATAAAAAACTAACTTCGAACTTGGAACATATTTGACTAAAAAGAATACTACTCAGAAACACTTCTTGTGAACAAATAGAAATACTGCAAATTAAACCCTACATAACTACAACCAATTTTGGTAGAATTGGACTGGTGGATTCAGCTTTGCGTTCCAACCTCCAAAGAAGTCGCTCAGTCCAAATCCCTCGAACCATCCAAACATCGATTCGAAATCTTATTTATCTACACAGACTTTCAAATGCCATGGAAACCCCAGTGGGGCGAAACTGGATAAGCCAAATTTTGGCCAAGTAAAAATTGTAATCTTTAGTCTAGAATAAACTGTGGAATTGATAGAATATGATACCTTCCCATAAGAAGGATAAGGAAAATTGAAATAAAACTGGAATTTGTACCAACGTTCTAAACTTTAAAATCGCAATCCTAAAAGGTTTGTGGACTTAACCATTTTTGATCCGAGGGTGCTCAGTGGACAGAACCTATTATTCAATAAGTTAAACAAACAAGGAGTAGTCGAATTGATGTAACAAGGCTTGGTACCGTTGAATTAATGATTGATACGAGCATGTGAAATATTGTTCCGTTGTCGTGTCAATCTGAAATGTTAATAAATGAAGTTATGGCTCGCTAAAACAATAACTTATTTAACAATAAATTTAGTTGGCGTGGAGGGATTAGAACAAGGTGAAATGCAGATAATAATAGTCTCCTAAATATAATGATTTAGACAACGTATAAGGTGTTTTTTTTATCAGCAAGAATTCGTAATGAGTCGGTGCCTAATGATCTGTCTATAAAACTACACAAAATCGATTAGTGACGATGGGGTTTTAAACCTTGAAGAAAAAAAAAGGTTGTCATATAAATCAGTTAATTTTACAATGTATAATAATTGATATGCGTAGTACTGAAACATTTTCTCACCTTGGACTACATTTTCTGTGTTTTCTGACTCTCTCTTTCTCATTCTCTGTCAATTAATTTCTCAATTACTAACATTGTCATTTGGTCTTCTCCACTCTCACTTGTTCTTTCTCTCTCCTTAAATTTCTCACTTTTGACATCTGTCTCCTCTCAAACTTCACTCTTTATCTTTGACTCACTCACTTTCATTGACACTGCTTTTCTCCTCTCGTTCACTCCCTTAATTACTCTCTCTCCTATTCCATCTGTCTCTCTCACTCTCCTCTCTTCGTTGTCAGTCGCTCTTTCCCTCTCTCTATGTCCATTGCTTTATTGCACACACCCTCCCTCTTTTTTTACGTTAAGTGGAAAAAATTCTACGCGACGTAACTTTTGTGGGGTTAAATAAAACGTTTAATCAATCAATCAATCCCCCTCAAAGCCCTCTCACTTTCTCTCACTCACTCCTCCTCATTTACTCACTCCCCGGCTCGTTCTTTTTTCACTTCGTCCGCTATCGTTAGTTATTGAACTCTCTCTCTCTCTCTCTCTCTCTCTCTCTCTCTCTCTCTCTCTCTCTCTCTCTCNTCTCTCTCTCTCTCTCTCTCTCTCTCTCTCTCTCTCTCTCTCTCTCTCTCTCTCTCTCTCTCTCTCTCTCTCTCTCTCTCTCTCTCTCTCTTCCCATTTCGTTCTCTCTCTCCCTCCCCCTCCCACTCACTCTCTCTCTCTCTCCCACTCTCTCTCTCTCTCCCTCCATCTAGCCCTCCATCCATACTGTCACTCTCTCTCTCTCTCTTCCTATTTCTCTCTCTCTCTCTTTCTCTCTCTTTCTCTATCTGCCCATTGTTTTATTTCACACACTTTCTCTCTCTCTCTCTCTCTCTCTCTCTCTCTCTCTCTCTCTCTCTCTCTCTCTCTCTCTCCCTCTCTTTCTTTCTCTCTCTCTCTCTCGTTCTCCCTTTCTCCCTTCCTCATTTCTATTTCACCTTCGACTTCATTCATAACTAAATAAAAGTAAAAAAAACTTTAATCGTAAAGCCAATAAAAATATCATTGTTTTATCATAATTATCAGTTTAATATTATTGTGAAGTAAGATAACGTATACTTGTTCGAAAATTACCTAGCAGCCTTCAATAATGACAGCAATTGATCAAAGGTCGTGGTCTTGTTCACAAACACAAGGTTATACGTTTTTGAAATTCCATTTTTCAGATTATTAGCTTATCCATTTAGCAGATGAACACACGCCATTATTTGTAGGACGTCAATAAGTCCAAAGTTACGAATGTGAAGCGTATTAAAATATTTTCTTTCTATTTTGAAAGATTTTCCTCGACGCTTGTTGATATTTTCAGTTACTCATGGCGTTGCGTCATATCAATTCTACAGGCCGGAAATTATGCATTCAGTTTCCTTTCGCGCAAGGCTGGGAATTCACACATCGCCTAGGTTTTTGATCACCTTCGGAAAGAAACTGTGGCAATGTTGGAAATAAAATCACATTCCGTGCTTTGTAAACAAACCGGTTTTTAATTTCGA